TGAATACTGGATTCGCCCCCTTCCCTGGAGTTTGCTGTTACTGCTTGTTGTAAGCTATTGTTTGTTTAGTGACTTACTATTTTGTAAAGCTTCTATTCTTTGTTGTGTATGGAACTGAAGTCTGTACTCCCTTACCTTCAGGGTCAACTACTGTTTTGACAGTTTCCTTAAACACCTGCAGCCAAGAAAAGAAAAAAGGTAATAGGAAAGAAAAAAAAAAAAACACTCCCAGTCTTTTCTTCTCTGTGTTGGGGCACTCTGTCAAACTTAGCCAAGCCATTTACAACTGTCTTAGCTTTCACATCCTACTCAGGCAGAGCCTGAAGGTCAGCTAGTGGTGAAAGCTTAGGGTCTTCTCAAGCCTTTCTGAGAAGAAATCCAATCCTAGGCATGTACATAACCTTCTCTATCTCTCAGCATACACAAAAGCTTTTAAAAGTCCTTATACAACCCTGTATCTCCTTTTTCAACTGTTTCTTCCTGGCTTTTTGTCTACCTATTCGTGGTCCTAATTTTTATCCCCAGATTCAGGTTGCTACAGCTGAAACTCTGGCCTTTAAATACTTTTGACACATGCTGATGGACAAGCCACCCCAGTCCCAGGAAAGCTCTGAGTTGTATAAAACAAAGGGAAGCTCATACTGATTCTTCAGAGACTTCAGACAGGTTAAAACAATCACCATTTTTTTTTTTTTTTTTTTTTTTTTTTTTTTTGAGATGGAGTCCCACTCTGACTCCAGGATGGAATGCAGTGGCATGATCTCGGCTCACTGCAACCTCTACCTCCCGGGTTCAAGTGATTCTCCTGCCTCAGCCTCCTGAGTTGCTGGGATCAGAAAAGCGCACCACTTTAGTAGAGATGGGGTTTCACCATGTTGGCCAGGATGGTCTCGATCTCTTGATCTCATGATCCACCTGCCTCAGCCTCCCAAAGTGCTGGGATTACAGGTGTGAGCCACCATGCCCGGCCCACAATTCTTTGAGAGCAAGATCTGTACTAAACCTTCCAGTGCTGACAGCTTGTACCAGGAGTGTAAGCTGCTGTCTTCAAAGCCATTGTTAATCTAGACACAAGGAATGGTAGGTAAGCAATTTAAGGTGCCATAGTGTTCTCTTTCTGCTGTGCAACAGCTCCTTACTTTTCCTGGTTTTTAATGTTTTTAACTAAATTCCAGAGATCTACAAAAATTAATTCTGATAGTTTCTGGAAGTTTATTATGTTTTTGTAAAAAATGGAGCCCTAGAGTTCCCTACTCCACCATATTACATGACTTCACTCACAAATGTTTTATATGCATAACAAAAGCATTTGACTTCGATTATGCTAACTGCAAATTTCAAATATTCTTTATCATATTTTGGGTATTACTCCTCCTCTAAAGAAATATTTTTAATTAGCTATAGATTTTATTTTTATTCCTAAATACTTTTTGGAGCTTAATAAAAGAATTGTGGTTTCTTGATTAGATCTATGAATGTAAAAATTTATTTATAAATTTCCTAATATTGAACTATCTGCTTTGCCTGTAACATCAATTCCCAATTTCCCCCTCCAGGAAAGCTCTGAGTTGCATAAAACAACTCAGATTGTCCCTGGCAATCACCATTCTATTCTCTGTTTGCTGAATTTGACTATTTCTACCATCTGACATTTATTTCACTTGTTTGGTTGTTATTCATACACTCTCACTTAAAGTAAGCTCATGATGAAGAAATGTGTGTCTATTTTGTTCAGTGATGTCTCCTCAGCCTATAGATGAGTGACAGTACATACCAGGCATTCAATAAGTATTTGTAAAATGAATGAATAAATGTCCAATAGTAGGGTAGTGAATAAATTGTTATGTTCACACAATGGGATATTATATACCTATGTAAAACTATGCTTTCAGAGAAGTGTTAAAGGGAAATCATAATATATTTAAGTTTAAAAAAAAAAAGGATCCAAAACTGTACACACAGTGTGGCCAATATGGGTTCCCCAAGAGCAAGGCATATCTTGCCAAACACTATTTCGCAACTACTCAGTTAACAGACTAAAGAAAGTCAATCATAAGACGGTGAAATATAAGACAGTTGAATGACAGTATTGTGAAGTACTCCGGGTGTTAGAATAATCTTATTCAAAAGTTTTAGATTTTTTTTTTTTTTCTTTTTGAAACAGTCTCCTTCTGTCACCCAAGCTGGGTGCAGTGGCACAATCTCGGCTCACTGCAACCTCCACCTCCCAGGTTCAAGCAATTCTCCTGCTTCAGCTTCCCTAGTAGCTAGTATCACAGGCATGCACAATGACACCCAGCTAATTTTTGTATTTTTATTAGAGATGGGGTTTCACTATGTTGGCCAGGTTGGTCTCAAACTCCTGACCTCAGGTGATCCATCCACCTTGATTTCCCAAAGTGCTAAGATTACGGGTGTTAGCCACCTTGCCCGGACAAAAAGTTTTACACTTTTTATCCATAACCCTTACTAAACATTTTTAAAACTTTTGGATAAAAATACTTATCAAATATACAAATGGCACAAAGCTGAAAGGGATACTTTAATATAATAAATGACCAAATTTAGATTAAAAATCATTCCAGTAGGCTTGAACACTGATATAGAAGCAATAAAAAGAAATACAGGAGAGTTAAAAGGTATTACATAAGGCCAGGTGCAATGACTCATGCCTGTAATCCCAACACTTCAGGAGGCTGAGTCGGGTGGATCATTTGAGGTCAGGGGTTCAAGGCCAGCCTGGCCAACATGGTGAAACCCCCATCTCTACTAAAAATGTAAAAATCAGCCTGGTGTGGTGTCACATCCCAACCAAGTAGCTGTAATCTCAGCTACCTGGGAGGCTGAGGCAACAGAATCACTTGAACCTGGGAGGTGGAGATTGTAGTGAGCCAAGATCGTGCCACTGCACGACAGCCTGGGCAACAAGCCAGACTCTGTCTCAAAAAAAAGAGGATTTAAAAAAAAAAAAAAAAAACTATTATATAGATACAAGGTCATGCCACTACACAACAGCCTGGGCAACAAAGACTGTCTCAAAACAAAGATTTTTTTTTTTTAATTATCATATAAACACAAGAAATGAGAATAGAAAGTGTGGCAATAGTTCACGGTTTTTTTTGTTTGGTTTGGTTTGGTTTATTTCTTATAGCTTTAAGTTTTGAAAGCAGTACTTTTTTTTTTAATACCCAATTATGCTGTGTCCATTAGAAATCTCACAGTACACTGGCAGAAAGAGAATTACTAAATATATTTCATGCTGGTTAGATCAGAAATGAAAATGTGTTTTATCTAATTCAGGATACTTTATTTTAAGAAAAACACAGACAAACTAGAGTCTACCCAAGGTAAGGCAACTTGATTGCTGAGGGATCTGGAAATATAAACACAAGAAAGTAATTTTTTTAAAACAGGGAAACACAGATCACTTAGAAAATTGTGTACTTCCAAACAAATGATGCTAGGATAGTGCTCACTTAAGCAGCACATATACAGATGGTACTAAGACAACCAATTATCCATTTTATTATTCTTACAATCACAGGTATATATGTAAAACCTAAAATCCAATCTACTTTGTACTGTTCAAACAATTTTCCAAAATTGAGACAATCCAAGTAATTAAACTGTATCACTGGAGAATAGTTTTCTAAGACACTTTGTATGAATCAGGCCATGAAACCCTTGTATGATAGCTATATCAATTATTACATGATTAATAACAGTAATAGCAGTTGGCAGTTATTGAGTACTAACTAGGTATCACACATTCTACTAAGCATTTTATAGGCATTATCTCACATAATCCACACCAAAACCCTCTAAGATAGATATCATTATACCCTACTAAAGTGCAAAATAGCAGACGAAACACCTTATCCATAGGACAATGAATAAATTATCATGTAATCACAACTGGAATGCTTTACAGTAATAAAGAATAAACGAAAACTATGCAAATCTACACTGAAGCAGCTGAAAACCCTAAAACTGTGTGAAACACCCAGTTCTCAAAAGAATATGTATCATACTGATTCCATCTACAGAGAGTTCAAAACCATACAGAGGAGCAGGAAAACCATTACATATCAAAATAAGAAATAAAAATGATATGACTGGGAAAGAAAAAACAAAGAACTTCAACAGAATTTGGTAATGTTCTGTTTTTCAAGCTGGATAGTCAATATACGGGAATTATTTTTACTTGCTGCTATTCTTTACACATATGATTGAGATATACTCTTTTCTATGTATGAAATAGTTAATAATAGAAGGAAAATAAGTACTATTAAAATGAAAGTCATTTTTACATAAGCTATTATAGCTGTGTACTCTAAAGCATTTAAAATACAACATTTGAAAATAGCTGGACATCATCTGGATTTCAAGGTATCACTTTCAAGAGAAAATAAGGGTGATATTTAGTCTTCTCTGTTCTAAAAAATACTGATAAAACAAGCAAATCAGTTTTTATTTTTCTAAGATGATAAATTTTTTAAAATATGAACTTGGAATTAATAAAAACTTAACATATCTAGACTGTAAGAATCTAATACCTACATCTTAACTTTTGAAAAATTATGACGCCTGTCTAGGCACAGTGGCTCATGCCTGTAATCCCAACATTTTGGGAGGCCAAGGCAAGAGGATTATTCAAGCATTCAAGACCAGCCTGGACAACACAGAGAGACCCTGTCTCTGCCAAAAATTTAAAAATTAGCCAAGCATGGTGGCACATACATATGGTCCCGGCTACTTGAGAGCTGAGGTGGGAAGATTCCTTGAGCCCAAGAGTTCAAGGCTGCAGTGAGCTGTGACTGCACTGCTGCACTTCAGCCTAGGTAACAGAGCAAGATTCCATCTCAAAAACAAAACCAAAAAAAGGCTCGTAACACTAGCCAAATATTATCAGCAAGTCAGCTGATGCCCAAGGAAGATATCCAAATTCCATCACCCATTCTTTCATATTTACTCTTTTCATTTCCAGATTTCTTTTATACCTTGGACAAGTCAGTTGTTCTCCCATGACCAAACAACTCTGCCTTGATCTCTTCTACTTTCCTCCTGTCATCTTCATTTAATTCTGAAATGGAGTATCCACAATCATGTGCTAAATTGAACTTCAGATTCCAGGCTGGAGAGAAACCATAGTACACTTGAGATAATAAAATGTGAAAGTGATAATTTGTCAACAACTGTAGACATTTGATCATAAAAGATCATCAATATATGCAACTTAATACCCACCACAATGCTTAGTAGGTCTTCTTCTCAATTATGACAAGCTATTAAAAATTCTTGACAGAGATCATTCTACTGCAAAGTCTGATTTTTTTAAGCCATGCTTTATAGATAATTCTACAAAAAGTCACTTTAAATATGGTATTCAATCATATTTATCTTAATCCTCCTTCTAATCAAGAAAATTCCTTTGCTTCTCCCTTAGTTCCTGCTATGTAACTCACGTTTCCATAAGAGTGATATTTAAAAGTAATAAACACAACTTGGAGGTTTTTTTGTAGAATAAAAATGTGCAAGGAACAGTGTAGGAAGTTAACTTCAAGGGTCAATTTCCAGATAGGTGTAAAATGCTTTTAAATTACCTTCCAAAATATATTCCCATATTGTCTTACAGATTTTTTGTTTTGTTTTTAATGGAATTCTATTAGAAATTAATGAGATTTGTAAATATTATTTTAAACCTCTAACCCAAGTTTAGCATAAAATACATTCATTTTTTTTTTTAATGTCTGAGGATCAGCACCCAGAGTTTTATTAGAAAAGGGAAAGAGAAAATACATGCAGTTCTAGGACAAAAAGCAACTTAGAGCACGGCAAACTGGAAGCTTTTTCTGCCTTTAGAATAAGGATACTATAATGGGAGGATTAGGGAAACGTGACAGCTTTAGGAGCTCAGAATCCCAAGCGACCTCTTTACTCTCTGTCATACATCAGTATCTACTTCTCCTAAAAAATTAAACTCAGACTGGTACTATTAATACTGTAACTTAACTACATTGTTGGTTAAATAGGGTTTTTCTGGGTTGTTAGTAGAAATACAATAATTATAACAATTGGAAAACACATTTAGAACTCTCAACATCTATTTTTTTCTTGTTTTTATTTTTCATTGGCTAAACTCCTTCAAATCATAAACACCTAACTTAAAACAAATTATTAAACTATAATGTTTATAAGACTGAACCTGACTTTATTCTTACCATGTGCTCGTACACGGCTTTCCTCTTCCTCTGCATTTCTTAGTATTTCTTTGGCATGATTCAGGGAGGATTCACATTGCAGAAGGTTTTTGACGTGTGCAGCCAGTGAATCTATGCTGCTACCACCACCATCCTCACTCTCTGACACACCCTCTTCCTCTCTGCTATCTGTTATACTTGTCTTGGGTGAAACATATGGAAAGAAGTTTAGAAGAACGTCGGAAACTGATTCCAAAGACTCTGGTAAATTACTGTCCCATGAGCAGGAACCATTTCCATCACTGGCATCACTACTTGAATCACTTTTTATGATAGTCATCATAGGGATAATAATTTTATTCCCAATGGTTCCACTACACCCTTCAGGTTCAGATCTCATTACAGATTTGGCTGCTTGATACCGCCTAAGGGTTTCTTCTAATGCCATACTGGCTTTGTTCTCTGCTTCCTGTAGAGGGCTTCTAACTGTAGTTGAACTAATAAACTCCCAATTTTCAATGCCTCTCTGGCATTTCAAATTCGTCTGTGTGCCAATATCCTTCTGCATGCACCTGCTGCTTGGGTTTTCCTCTGTGAATGCCTGTCTCTGAAGCAATTCAACATTAGATAAATCAGTGGAAGAAGGTTCTTTGAAGCAAACCACCTTCTTAGATTGTATAAATGAAATATCACTAATATCTCTGAAAGGGGCAAGGGGAGCAGGAAAATTGCATCGTTTCAGTGCTATGTTTTCTGCCTCCATCAAAAGTGTCCGAATTTCCTTAAGAGTTTTAGAACTATTTTCTGCATCCTGGATTTCTTCAGAGCCAACATCTCTCAAACCTGCAGATTCTGTTTTTTTTATTAGAACTCTGTCATCAGCCTGAGAATTTAAAAGCACATTATTTGAGCTAAAACTGGAGCCAGAAGAATTCAAATTATCTATTAGCCTTTGGACATGTTCTGAAATAAGCTTGTGCTTCTCACCATGTGAGTAAGTACCAGAGGGAACTGTTTGCAATCTAGTAATTTGATCAGCTTGCCCAAGAGCACTTGAGATCTTTAGAGCATCTTCAGTTAGATGTCTATCTGGCAAATCCTTGTGATAGAAAATATCTGGTTTCTCTTGGTGTGAAAAGGAACTAAAAGGAGCTGTTGGTAATACTGTTTTCTGGCCAGCTGGTCCAGGAATAGCTGAAACTTTCAGCACATCTTCAGTTACATATCTACCTGGCAATTCCTGTGGACTGAAAATACTTGATTTCTCTCTGTGAAAATAAGAACTAGAGAGAGGTATTGGTTTTCCAGTATTCACATCAGTTGGTTCAGAGACAGCTGAAATCTTTAGACCTTTACTTTGATCTTTATCTGGCAACTGCTGTTGAAATAAAACATCAGGCTTTACTCTTTGAGAATAGGAACTATGAAAAACTGTCAGTGATGGAGTCTTCTGGTCATCTGGTCCAGTCACAGTTGAAATCTTAGACTTCTCTATTTGTGGGTAGGAACTAAGGGCAGCTGCTGGAAACTCAGTTTTCTGATCATCTGGTACATCTGCAGTTGAAATCTTGAGTTTCTCTGTATGTGAATGTGAATAGGAACTAGACAGTCCTATTGGTATCCCAGTCTTCTGCTCTGCTGGTATAGAAACAGGTGAAACTTTCAGAGCCTCTTCTGTGAGATGACTATCTGGCAACTCATACTGAGAGGAAACACTGGGCTTCTCTCCATATGAGTAGTAACTTGAAGATGCTGTTGGTATGTCAGTCTTCTGGTCACCTTGTCCAGGAAAAACAAAAACATTTAAAGCTTCTTCAGTAACATCCGGCAACTCCTGCTGATGAAAAACACTGGGCTTCTCTCTATTTAAGTAGGAACTAGAGGACAATATTTGTATTCCAGTCTTCTGGTCAGCAGGCCCAGGAACCTCTATTGCTTTCAAAGTTACTTCAGTAAGATCTGGCAACTCCTGCTGATAAGAAATGACAGACTGCTCTCTCTGTGGGTAGGAATTAGAGGATAGGATGTTTATCCCAGTCTTCTGGTCAGCTGGTTCTCTTAAAATTCCCAAAGTTGCTTCAGTAAAATGTGGCAACTCTTGCTGGTAAGAAATAATGGGCTTGTCTCTGTGTGAATACGAAGTAGAGGTTACTGTTGAGACCCCAGTCTTCTGGTCAGCTGATCCAGGAACATCTGAAACTTTCAGCGCCTTTTCAGTTAGATGACTATCTGGCAACTCCTCTTGGTAAGAAATATTAGGCTTCTCTGTATGTGAATAGTAAGAAGAGGTTACAGTAGATAACCCAGTCTGGTCAGCTGGATGAGGAACAACTGAAACTTTCAGAGCTTCTTTAGTTAGCTGAGTGTCTCGCAGGGCCTGCTGGTAAAAGACAATGGGCTTCTCACTATGTGAGTATAAACTAGAGGATACTGATGGTGTCCCAGTCTTCTGGGCATCTGGTCTAGGAATAGGTGGAACTTTCAGAGCTTCTTCAGATAAATGACTGTCTGATAGGGTCTGTTCGTAGAAAATGACAGGCTTCCCCCTATGGGAGTAGGTAATAGAATATACTGGTGGTGTCTCAGTCTTCTGGTCAGCTGGTTCAGGAGTAGCTGAAACTTTCACAACCTCTTGATTTAGAGGACTGTCTTGTAGAGCCTGCTGGTAGAAAGTAATGGGCTTCTCTCCAAGTGCACTGGAACCTAAAGGTCCTGTTGCTATCTTAGTTTTTTGTTCAGTAAGTCCAGAAACAACTAAAGCTTTCAGAGCCTCTTCAGGTATGGGACCAACTGGAAAGGCTTGTTTGTAGATAATAATGGGCTTCTCTCCAAATGAGTAGGAAGGAGAGGTTATGGTTGGTATGCCAGTTGTGTGGTCGGCTGGTCCAGAAGCAGATGAAACTCTCAGAGCCTCTTCAGGTATTTGACTACCTAGCAATGGCGGTTGGTAGAAACTGCTAGGCTTCACTCTATGTTGTGAGTAGAAACGAGAGGTTACAGTTGGTGTGCCAGGCGTCGGGTCAACTGGTCCAGGAACAACTGAAACTTTTAGAGACTCTTCAGGTAGATGACCATCTGGAAAGGCCTGTTTATAGATAACAATGGGCTTCTCTCCAAATGAGTTGGAAGGAGAGGTTACAGTTGGTATGCCAGTCGTCTGGTCAACTGGCCCAGGAGCAACTGAAACTTTCAAAGCCTCTTCAGGTAGATGACTATGTGGCAAGACCTGTTGGTAGAAAATGCCAGGCTTCTCTGTGTGTGAGTAGAAAGTAGAGGGTAAAGTTGGTATCCCAGTCTTCTGGTCAGCTTGTCCAGGAACCACTGAAATATTCTTAGCCTCTTCAGTTAGAAGACTACTTGGCAACAACTGTTGGTAGAAACTTCTGGGATTCTCTCTATGTTGTAAGTAGGAAGGAGAGTTTACAGTTGGTGTGCCAGTTGTCTGGTCAACTGGTTCAGGAGCAACTGAAATCTTCAGAGCCTCTTCAGTTGGATGACTATCTGGCAAGACCTGTTGGTAGAAAATACCAGGCTTCTCTGTGTGTGAGTAAGAAGTAGAAGTTGGAGTTGGTGTCCCAGTCTGGTCAGCTGGTCGAGGAATGGCTGAAACTTTCTGTGCCTCTCCAGGTATATGACTACCTGGCAAGGTCTGTTGATAGAAAATATCAGGCTTCTCTGTGTGTGAGTAGGAAGTAGAGGTTGGAGTTGGTGTCCCAGTCTGGTCAGCTGGTCGAGGAACGGCTGAAACTTTCTGTGACTCTTCAGGTATATGACTACCTGGCAAGGTCTGTTGATAGAAAATATCAGGCTTCTCTGTGTGTGAGTAGGAAGTAGAGGTTGGAGTTGGTGTCCCAGTCTGGTCGGCTGGTCGAGGAACAGCTGAAACTTTCTGTGCCTCTTCAGGTATACGACTACCTGGCAAAGTTTGTTGATAGAAAATACCAGGCTTCTCTGTTTGTGAGTAGAAGGCAGAAAGTACTCTTGGTATCCAAGTCTTCTGGTCACCTGGTCCAGTAATAGCTGAAACGTTACGAGCCTCTTCAGGTATATGAGTACCTGGCAAGGCCTGCTGGTGGAAAACGCTGGGCTTCTCTCTATGTTGTGAGTAGTAAGTCGAGGTTGGAGTTGGTGTGCTAGTCTTCAGGTCTGCTGGTCTAGGAGCTACTAAAACATTCAGAGCCTCTTTAGGCAGATGACTGTCTGGCAAGGTCTGTTGGTATAAAATACCAGGCTTCTCTCTTTGTGAGTAGAAAGAAGGTACTGCTGGTGTGTCAGTTGTCTGGTCAGCTGGTCCAGGGAGGGCTGAAACTTTCAGACCCTCTTCAGGTAGATGATTGTCTGATAACACCTGTGGGTACAAAACACTAGGCTTCTCCCTCTGTGAGTAAGAACTAGACTGTACTGCTGGAATCTCAGTCTTCTGGTCAGCTGGTCCAGGGCCAGTTGAAACTTTCAGAGCTTTTTCAGTTGGGTGACTATCTGGCAACTCCTGCTGAGAGAAAATACTGGGTTTCTCTCCAAGTGAGAAGAAACCTGAAGGTACTGTTGGTGTCCCAGTCTTCTGGTCAGTCAGTCCAGGAATAGCTGACATTTTCAGAGATTCTCTACGTACATCACTGTTTGGCAACTCTTGTTGGTAGAAAATACTAGATTTATCTCTATATGAGGGAGAATTAGAGGACACTGTTGGTGTCCCAGTCTTCTGGGTAGAAACAGCTGAACCCTTCAGAGCTTCTTCAGGGAAAAGAATGTCTGGCAGGGTCTGCTGGGAAAAAATAATGGGCGTCTGTCTTTGTGAATAGAAACTAGACGGTGTTGAGGGTAAACCAGTCTTCTGATCATCTGGTCCAGGAACAACTGATACTTTGAGAGCCTCTTCAGTTAGGTGACTACTGGGTAAGGTCTGCTGGTAGAAAGCACCAGGCTTCTCTGAAAGTGAGGAGGACACAGAGGAAGTAGAGGTTACAGTTGATGTCCTGGTCTTTTCGTCAGCTGGTCCATAAACAGCAGAAATTTTCAGAGCCTCTTTGGGTAGATGGCTGTCTAGCAAAGCCTGCTGGTAGAAAATAAGGAGCTTCTCTCGGTGTGAGTATGCATTAGAGGGTACTGTTGGTAGGCCAGTCCTCTGGTCAGCTGGTCCAGAAACACCTGAAACTTCCAGACCCTCTTCAGGTAGATGACTGTCTGCTAACACCTGTGGGTACAAAATACTAGGATTTTCTTTCTGTGAGTAGGAAATAGACTGTACTGCAGGTATCTCAGTCTTCTGGTCAGCTGGTCCAGGAGTGAATGAATCTTTAAGAGTCTCTTCAGTTTGATGACTGTCTGGCAACTGTGGCTGGTAAAAAACACCAGGCTTCTCTCTACGTGAGTAGGGAGTAGAGAGTACTGTTGCTGTCCCAGTCTTCTGGTCAGCTGGTCCAGACACTGCTGAAACTTTCAAAGCCTGATCAGTTAGATGACCATCTGTCAAAGTCTGTCGATAGAAAAAGAGGGGATTCTCTCCATATGAGTGGGATGTAGAGGATACTGTAGGTATTCCAGTCTTCTGCTCCACTGGGCTAGGAGTAGCTGAAACTTTCAGAGGCTTTTCAGTTAAGTTACTCTCTGGTAACTCTCGTTGGTCGAAAACACCAGGCTTCTCTCCATGTGTGGAGGTTACAGCAGGTATTCCAGTCACCTGGTCACCTGGTCCAGGAGCAGCTGAAACTTTCAAAGCCTCTTCAGTTAGATGACTGCCTGGCAAGCCCTGCTGGTAGAAAATACTGGGCTTCCCCCTGTGTGAGTAGGAACTAGGGAGCACCGTCAGTGTTGCAGTCTTCTGGTCAGCTGGTTCAGGAACAGCTACGACTTTCAGAGTCTCTTCAGTTAGATGAGTATCCGCTAATGTCTTTTGGTTGAGAGTATCAGTGTGTTGACCAGTAGTAGTTTCTAGAGGAGAACTTACAGCCAACTGAGACAGGTCCTCAAGGGACGAGGATAAATGAGATCCAATGTCTGAATCAACAGGAGTGGTAACGATGCCTGGTTTCAAGTTGGATTGAGTAACTTTAGCTATGCTTCCTTTAGAAGTGTCTCCTAAAAAAAAGAGATTGTTAATACTATATGAAATTTTCTATGTGCTGAAAAAAGTAAAGCAAGCAATGAATCCTGAGGAAGCAGCCATCAGAGGAGACAAATATTTGTACACAAAGATATTAATTAGAAAACTAAAGTAAAAATATTTTAAATCTTCAACAACAGAGTAATGGTTATAAATAATAGTATATCCATTTGATGGAATATTATATGGATCTTAAAATTTGGCTTTTTAGAGAATTTTCAATGAGATGGGATAATACTATTGGGTCTAGGATTTGATTTCACCCTACTTACAATCTGTTATTGTGTGTCTTGTATGCTGGCAGAAGACACAGGTCCTCAGTGAGAGACAAAAGACTTTATTATCCCTGGTACAGCAAAGGATCATCAGCTTATTTTCACAGCTTCCTCTTGCCCCCAAGTCCCACAGAGGCAGTACAATATGGCCTAGAGGGATGCTATGCATGCAGTGAGTTTGACGGACCCTCCCAACAAATGCACCCTGTATAATATATATATTTAAGTACATAAAACTGAAAAAGACTCTAAAGGTTACTCTGAAGAGTTTGAACTTAATTCCATAAGCCATGGCAAGTTGTTTAAAGTTTTGATAAGAACTGTACTGCAAAAATATGAATTCAAGATGAGAAGGGAATATAAAAATCTAGGCTGCACAATCTAACAGAAATTTTCTATAGAAAAGTTCTATATTTGCACTAATACAATAATTCTAAATGGAAGCAGTTTTAAACAGCAGTGTAAAGGAAGTGACTGCAACAGAAATGACAGGATATGACAAGCTGTCCATTCATTTGTTCATTCAAAATATATGAATGCTTACTATGTACCAGGCACTGTTCTAGATAAACAAGATACAGCAATAAACAAGCAGACAATAATCCCTACCTCACAGAGCTTATTTGTATTCTAGCAGGAGGAGGCTGACAGTAAATTGGTAAAACATATGTGTCAGATGGTGTTAAGATGGCTGATACATACAGCAAGTATTATCTATACTTTACGCAGAGGGAAACCAAGTTGCAAAGATGACCATGTAACAATGCTTCTCAATGTGCGGATCTTGCTAACTTGCAGATTCTGATTCAGTAGTTCTGGGTGGGACCTGAAATTCTCCATTTCTAACAAGCTCCCCAGGGATGCCCATGTTATTGGTCCTTAAACCACATTTTAAGTGCAAAGATACATAATTTTCCTAGAATTGTAAGTGGGTAAGTGACAAAAATTGGTACTTTAACCCTTGAACTCCAAATCCAAATTCTGAACTCTTTCCACTACAATTGACGGGCTTTCTATGGCCACTAGTGAGCTTCAAAGGAGCTGAATATAGAATGAAATGGGTTGGGAAGTAAGTGAATTTTAAGGTAAAGAACTAGAAATATCAAGTATTAACTCTTCAAGAAAAGTAAAACATTTAAAAATGTAACATGCATTGTAACTTGAGAAGGAATATGGGTTACAAAATCTTTGTGAGGTTCTTGCCTGATGGGTCTGAAGAAAAAAAGAAAAATTTTTGCGAGGAAACAAAACAGGCTCAAGAAGTTAATAAATCAAAACAGATTAACAAAACCAAACCTTGTTTTTCCAAACGATTTCCTAATTTTTCAAAGTTTTTACATCCTTTTGACCATTACAAATTATTAGTGACACCATGAATGGAGACAAATGAGATAAACAGCTAAGGAGTTAAGATGTACAGCCCAGGTCCTTAAAAGATCCAGAGGTTTATATAAGATAAGGTCTTCTTAACCTCAGGGGTTAAGGAAAAGATTAGTATAGAAAACTAGAAGAACAACTATAGTTTAAGCTGTTCAAAGCAGGAAGAGATGCATCATGTTAAAGAACATATTACTGTCAGTTCTACATAAAGTCAAGGACATATTTGAAACTGTCAAAAGAATGGTGATCACAAATCCATTAATTACGATTTTTAAAATATGTCTATGTAAGTAAGGAGTTCATGATGAAAAAATGGTATGTTTTTAGAGTGCTTATTCTCTCAGCCCTGGGAAAGAACACACTAAGTGTATTACAGTATTACTACATACTGATCATATCTTTGGAAGTTCATTTTCAGAACTGGGGGTGAGTTGAAGACGTAAGTTTCGACCAAGGAGAGGAACAGAGCTGCCAGCAAAGAACTATACTATACTAGCTGTATACTGGTGGGAACTGTATGCCTCTTAGAGATGAGATTAAGACTAACAAGCTGGATACAATTTTCTCAAGAACTCTTCTCCACACTAAAGTGTTTAGTGACATAGCAGGTTTCCTTAGAAGACAATGACAGCACGGTTTTCTTTCCCCAAGTATATTCTGACATAAGAAGAACAAGGAAGCCCTTTACTTCTCATAGACAAAATGATGTACAAGTCCATATTTCCATTTTACATATGACTAGGAGCCTCTTACTACTAATCATTCCAAGTGAAATATTATGGATTATTAATACTAGCACACACAAATAAATTAGTGTAGTTCTAATTTTGAGTCCTCTAATTCAGTCACTAAAAAGTCTGTAACAGAGATTGGGAAGGGAGTGGGGAAGATGATTAATGGGTACAAAAATATAGGTAGAATAAATAAGGTCTAGAATATGATATAGTACAATAGAGTGACTACAGTCAACAATTATTTGTAACAGTTTAAATTAACTAAAAGACTATGACTGGAATTTTCACAACACAAAGAAATAATGAATGCTTGAGGTGACAGATAATCCATTTACCTTGATGTGATTATTACACATTGCATATTTGTGTCAAAGTATCTCATGTACCCCATAAATATATACACCTACTATGTACTCATAAAAATTAAAAATAAAAAAGTTTTTATAAAAATAAGTCTGGCAAAAGCACCTATTGTATGTACGTCCTGAATGGTTTTGCCTAGATTTTCTTCTATGGTTTTTATGGTGTTAGGTTATTATGTTTAAGTCTTTAATCCATCTGGATTTAATTTTAGTGTAAGGTGTCAGGAAGGGCCCAGTTTCTGCTTTCTGCACATGGCTAGCCAGTTTTCCCAACACCATTTATTAAACAGGGACTCCTTTCCCCATTCCTTGTTTTTGTCAGGTTTTTCAAAGATCGGACAGTTGTAGATATGCTGTGTTGCCTCTGAGATCTCTGTTCTGTTCCATTGCTCTATATCTCTGTTTTAGTACCAGTATTGTGCTGTTTTAATTACTGTAGCCTTGTAGTATAGTTTGAAGTCCAGTAGTGTGATGCCTCCCACTTTGTTCTTTTTCCTTAGAATTGACTTGGCTATGCGGGCTCTCTTTCAGTTCCATATGAAGTTTAAGGTGGTTTTTTCCAGTTCTGTGAAGAAGGTCATTGGTAGCTTGATGGGGATAGTGTTGAATCTGCAAATTACTTTGGGCACTATGGCCATTTTCAAGATATTAATTCTTCCCAACCATGAACATGGAATGTTTCTCCATCTGTTTGTGTCCTCTCTTATTTCGTTGAGCAGTGGCTTGTAGTTCTCCTTGAAGAGGTCCTTTACGTTTCTTGTTAGTTGTATTCCTAGGTATTTTATTCTCTTTGTAGCAACTGTGAATGGCAGTTCATTTTTGATGTGGCTCTCTGTTTGTCTGTTATTGGTGTATAGAAATTCTTGTGATTTTTGCACATGGATTTTGCATTCTGAGACTCCGCTGAAGTTGCTTATCAGTTTCAGGAGATTCTGGGCTGAGACAATGGGGTCTTCTAGATATACAATCATGTCATCTGCAAATAGAGACAATTTGACTACCTTCTTTCCTATCTGAATACCCTTTATTTCTTTTTCTTGCCTGATGGCTCTGGCTAGAACTTACAGTACTATATTGAATAGGAGTGGTGAGAAAGGGCATCCTTGCCTACTGCCAGATTTCAAAGAGAATGCTCCCAGTTTTTGCCCATTCTGTATATTGGCTGTTGGTTTGTCGTAAACAGCTTTTACTATTTTGAGATACGTTCCATCAATACCTAGTTTATTGAGGGTTTTTAGCATAAAGGGCTGTTGAATTTTGTCAAAGGCCTTCTGTGCATCCATTGAGATAATCATGTGGTTTTTGTCTTTGTTTCTGTTTATGTGGTGAATGATGTTTACAGACTTGCGTATGTTGAACCAGCCTTGCATCCCCGGGATGAAACCTACTTGATCATGGTGGATAAGCTTTTTGATGAGCTGTTGCAATCAGCTTGCCCGTATTTTATTAAAGATTTTTGCATATATGTTCATCATGGATATTGGCCTGAAGTTTTCTTTTCTTGCTGAGTCTCTGCCGGGTTTTGGTATCAGGATGATGTTTGTCTCATAAAATGATTTGGGAAGGATTCTGTCTCTTTGGGTTATTTGGAATAGGTTCAGAAGGAATGGTAGCAGCTCCTCTTTGTATGTCTGGTAGAATTCGGCTGTGAACCCATCTGGACCTAGACTCTTTTTTTGGGTGTTAGGCTCTTAATTGCTGCCTCAACTTCAGACCTTGTTATTGGTCTATTCGGGGTTTCGACTTCTTCCTGGTTTAGGCTTGGGAGGATGCTGGTGTCCAGGAATTTATCCATTTCTTCCAGGTTTACTAGTTTATGTTGATAGAGTTGTTTGTAATAATCTCTGATGATGGTTTGGATTTCTGTGGAATCTGTGGTGATATCCCCTTTATCATTTTTTATTGCATCTATTTGGTTATTCTCTCTTTTCTTTTTTATTAGTCTGGCTAGTGGTCTATTTTGTTGATCTTTTCGAAAAACCAGCTCCTGGATTTATTGATTTTTTAAAAAGTTTTTTGTGTGTCTCTATCTCCTTCAGTTCTCCTCTGATCTTAGTTATTTCTTGTCTTCTGCTAGCTTTTGAGTTTTTTTGATCTTGCTCTTCTAGCTCTTTCAATTTTGACGATAGGGTGTCAATTTTAGATCTCTCCTTTCTTCTCATGTGGACATTTATTGCTATATATTTTCCTTTAGAGACTGCTTTAAATGTGTCCCAGAGATTCT